CAAGTATGTATAGTCAAATTATAACTCTATTATATCTAAAGGTAACACTAATATACTTAAATCATGCGTGTCTGTAGATATGTATCAGCATGCGAAGCTACATGGAAAATATTAGCTTCCCCGATATGTTATCGTACAACACCAGTTGAAAAACTGCCTTTCTATCTTCCTGGCCAAGAATTGGTTATTTATAATGAGGATGATCCAATAGAAAATGTTATGTCACGTTCAACAAATGGAGGAAGCAAATTCTTAGCATGGATGGAATGCAATAGACTTGACCCTGAAGCTAGGAAGTTAACGTATGCCGAATTTCCCACCGCTTATGCATGGTATAAAAAGGAAAAAATGTGGAAGCTGAGATCAAGGAAAAGAAGAAGTTTTGCAATAGGAAGGATAACATACGTACCTCCTTCTATAGGGGATGCTTACTACTTAAGAGTTTTGCTTAATAAAATTCCAGGTGCGACCAGCTTCGAATTCTTGGAAACGGTCAACGGGGTTCTTTACGGAGAATTTAAAGATGCTTGCTATGCATTAGGATTATTGGATGATGACAAAGAATATATTTCTGCCATAAAAGAAGCAAGTCTCTTGTGTTTTGGGAAGTACTTAAGGAAGATATTTGTGATATTATTGATTTCGAAGAGTGTATCAGTTCCGCTTAATCTTTGGCTCGCGACAAGAGATATACTATGCGAAGATATTTTATTCCTTCATAGAAACCGCATAAATGATCAAGGTACATCGAAATCTTAGTGAAAATTTTATGAAATATTTGGTCTATTATTTATATATGTCTTTATAATATATTTTTTACAATCATCGGTATAAATACTTCTCGATTTAAAATTTATTAATTCTATTATACAAAATGAAATGCAGGTATTATGTTAACACAAGATCAAATACGGAACATATGTTTGTCGGAAATCGAAATGCTAATGCGTTCGAATGGAACTTCCCTTTCTTTTTTCACTAATATGCCAACACCAGGCGATAGTGTGCTAAATCCTAATGAAATAGGCTTATCATGTATGAGAAAAACTATAAGCCTCATGAACAAAAGACAGAATACAACCGACTATTTGCTATGTTAACTGAAGAGCAAAGACGGGTCTATCAAGAGATAATTTACTCGGTAAATAAAAACAAGGGGGGTATGTTTTTTGTGCATGGAATTGGTGGTACTGGAAAAAATTTCTTGTGGAGTATTCTTGGAGCTGATATTCGATCTAAAGGTAATATTGTTCTAAACGTTGCATCGAGTGGAATAGCTGATTTGCTGTTGGAAGGTGGTAGGGCAGCTCATTCTAGGTTCTGTATACCTATCAACATAAACGAATACTCAATGTGTTCAATCGATGCAGAGTCCGATTTAGCAGAATTGATTAGAGAATCAAAACTCATTATATGGGACGAGGCTGCGATGATGAACAGACATTGTTTTGAAACGTTGGATAGGACTTTGCAAGATATAATGAAGTCC